TTGGACACAGATTTGAAGTTATTATTTTCTCTATAATATTACGACATATATTTCAATAGCATTTCACACAAAAATTAACTTATTTCTTATAAAAGATATTAAAATTTCAAATTTTTTGGCGGGTTTGATTGACACATCCTTGCACTTTCATAAATTAATTTTATTCTTAATCCTTAGGGAAAAGTGGCAATCTTGTTGTGTATAAATGAAAAATATTAAGACTATAATCCAGAAAATTCAGAGTACACATGTTCGAAAGCAAAACAAAAACGCAATACATTGTCACTCCGTGCAGTTGTGGTAAGCAGACTGTGACGTTTGAACGCACCCGTAGAATTATAAACATCAACAATAAGAGAACTCGTGCCCTGTTTACAAAAACTGTGTACATAACACTAGTGTGCTCAATTTGCTAAACTCTATACGCAACTCTTAGTTCTGAATGACGATACTTCTGAAGGAGTTTTGCTTTCTAACATTTTTACTCTGAATAAAATCATTTTTCTGGATAAAAGTTTTAATATTTCTCATTAATACACAACAAGATTGCCACTTTTCTTAAGGATTAAGAATAAGGTTAAAATTTGTGAAAGTGCAAGGATGTGTCAAATTTGAATCAAACCCGCCAAAAAATTTCAAGTTTTAATAACTTTTAAATGAAATATAATTAATTTTTGTGTGAAATGCTATTTAAATATATAAGTCGTTATATTATAGAGAAAATATTGACTTCAAATCTGTGTCCAAGTACCTTTAAGTGATTTAATCCGAAATAATATATTCCGTTTTCCGTTCCGTTCCGTTTTCCGTTCCGCATTTTAGCAACACCCCATTTTGGACAAATGCTTGATATTTCAGTGGAACATTTTTAAAAATCACCCTTACGGCGTGCGTCAGAGACTTCTGTTTTTTCCTTGGAATATTACATCAACGTAGTTTGTTTCATTATCATGAACAACAAGCATTCTGGGAGTGTTGCCATAGCAATACTAGTCCCCTACCAATAAGCGTAACCTGTTTCCCATATAAATTTGAAAATGTCTTGATTCCTTCAAATATCATTGATTCGGAACAAAATGCAAACTTGAACTTAAACTCATGAAAGTAGAGTCAATTACCAAAAAATCAGCTCAATATATGAAAGCGTTTGGAAAAATATTGCGGATAACACTATCTCCGCTAGCCTTAAGGGTATCTAATGTTTTTTCTCAAGTTACTCTCCCCATAAAACGTTGGCTTACGGTGTTAAAAAGCTGTTTTTTCTTAAGTTGTGATTGGGATGGATCGTTCGTGTTATAGACAACCAAGTGAGACAGACTGACAGATGGACGGACAGACCGACTGACAGACGGACAGATGCTTATGAAACCTATAGTCCCCTCCGTTTTCACCAGTATATAGGGGAATATATAAACGACGCTGTCACATGCATTAATCATCGTCGTTATTCTGTCTTTACAGATCATATGAACAACACAATGGAAGACCTACAGTCGGAACTCAAACAGACTCAGTTTGAACAATTAAAACTCACGTCTGCTGTGTCATCTTTAGAGGTGTTCCGATTGAATATTACCAACAGGCAGTGTGGTATGTATTCAAATTAAAGACAGATTTTAAATACGAAAACAGTGGGAAATAATTTTACCTTACTCTGTCTTTACAGATCATATTAACAACACATTGGAAGACCTACAATTGGAACTCAAACAGACTCAGTTTGAACAATTAAAACTCTCGTCTTCTGTGTCATCTCTTGAGGTGTTCCGATTGAATTTTACTAACAGGCAGTGTGGTATGCATTTAAAAACAGATTATGATAGTTTTTTAAAACATTGTACATTTTGTTTGAGTAGGGCTTCCGCATCATTTACGGCTTTATCTATAAATTCTCACTTCTCCTTACCGAAAAAATCATTTAAAAGTATAGTCACTAAATAGCAAAATTGATTCCAACTTGGAATTAACATTATTTTATTGATAACCCGACACCTTTCTATAGTTTACTATGTACTATTATTCAAATACAATTGATGTTTGTGGAATTTCAAATTAGTTTTTGTTTGTTATCCCTAACTTTTTAAATTTAGATTTCACTCTTGAATACCAATAATTTAGTTAAAAATTAATTACTATTTATAGTTTATTTTAGTAGTAATGTAATACTAAATTAAATGAAATAAATACTCGAATCAATTGAAAGTAAAGAGAAACATAACTACTGTGTTTTAGGTGTGTCTACAAAAGTAGCCTTCACCGCGGGTATAACGTCTCAGGACACTTTATGGAGTGGAAGTACACTGGTTTTCTCTAAAATAATATTTAATAGAGGAGGAGGTTACAACCCCACTACAGGGATGTTCACGGCCCCCGTGGACGGGCACTACGTCTTCTTCGTCAGTGTACAAAGTTATGATACAAAGGACATGATGGTGGACATTGTATTGAATGGAGAATCCAAGTCAGACCAATGGCATTCGACTATGCTAATAAGGATTATTACGAGACAGGAGTTAACCTGGTTGTGTTAAGGCTAAATCATGGAGACAAAGTGTGGGTCAAACGTAATACTGGCACCGGATACTATTCCAACTCTGTACCAATCACAACCTTCTCTGGATTCCTTTGGTAAAAAAAATACAATAAGGAAAGGATGAAGACAGTGGTCTTTATGGTATAGTTATAAGATGTTCACAAGTTTTTCTTAAAGTCGATTTTTTTTTTACATAAAAGATTCCCCGAAAATATTCCGATACGTACAGTTGGTTTCAGTCAAGTATGATATGCATGTGTTGGATAGAGGTTCCAAAATGAATGAATTAACTATTTGATGCTGCTTCCTTTAAAAAAAATGAGAACATTGTGATTTATTTGTCTTGTATATAAACTTTTTTTTTTAAAATTTGTATAATCATGGGTCTTCTAATTTTATCAGCTTTGTGATTTTTAAATGAGTATTCAACTGCGATACATATATATCAAGAACTTGGAATAAATTGCATGTTCTCCGAACGTTTTGTTTTGTTATCAATCTTAACTATACATATGCATCCCTTTGTACGAGGTTGATGAAGGATCATGAAAGTTATCTTCCTGACACACGACGAGTAAGAATATGCAAGAAAAAAAAATATTTAGACATCTTGCTTCAAAATAAAATAGATGAACCCTGTGATATTTTAGTACCAGTAATTCATACTTTGTAAGAAATATGAAATTCGAATAATCCCAGAAGTGTTACAATTTTTAGAATTTGAAATACAATTATTCGCATTAAATTTGCAATTTATTATTTTAATGGAACGTTTTAGGATCTCTTTTCGAAGTCAATAATGATTCTCTGTACAACATGTAGAATGTGTACATGTACGAATGATAAAAGCAGAAAATCGCCGCACATAAGAAAAAACTAATCACTATTGTGGTGTATATTAAATGTTAACGTATATAGTCTGAAGACTAAAAAGAAAGAGGGTGTATAAAGCGTGGACAATATCCCCCGTTCTGAGAAAATGTTTCTCAATTTTCAAAATTCACAGAAAAGTAGTATTTTTCTAAAATCATGTTCTCAGTAATGTCATCTTCAAAACATTCTATCATTTTATTTAACTGAACGACTTATTATTTGATAATCTTTATTTCAAAGTTGACAGTTAAGCATATTTAGTGGAAAATGGGTTTACTAGAGCTATAAAAAATGAATTTTGAACATGAATGGGTCAAGTCTCCATTCTTCGTTAACGCTTAAATGATGGAAACGTAAATGTGAAATCTATTTCATTCGTAATAAAAAAAAGGAATCTGAACCCATTCTATATAGAAATCAAAAATTTCTGGGAAAATGTACGCTTCAACAAATCCGTTCATTTAAATCACACTGACAGACATTGATAATGTATATACTTCGTAGCGTAGTGGTTAAAGCGGTCGGTCTTGGACCAAACCTTGCGCTATGGAGAGACTTCGAATCATACGTGAAGCTTTTTCTTTTTTGTTTTCAAATATCTTTAAAAAAACATGAGTGAAAAATAAATCATTAATAAAATATCAAAACAACGAAATACAGAATTAAATGTGTTAAAGATGATATAAACCATATAATTTTTAAAAAATATAACTTTTAGAATTGAGAAATGTCTTTTCTCAGAGCGAGAGATTGTCCTCGCCTTGTACGCCTCCATTCTTTCAATATCAGCTGTAAAGTGCCTATAATGTTCTTTAATTGTTCTTTGATTGTTACTTTATCATTCATTCTATTCATTACAGTTCATTGAAACTTTTTTTGAAAGTATGCAGTGGAAGGGATTTTTATCCAAATGAAAGACCTGTGCAAAGGTCCTAGATAGGAGAGGAGCAAATGGATAGGAATCTGTAAGCTTGTCTTAAACAATTAGGAAAGGTTGAAGCAATAAATATTATTTCCCAGTGTGGAAGGGTGTTCATGAAAAGCAAGGTATTTTATTTACATTACATGGAAAATTCTGAGAACCTACAGTTTTGAAATAATATGAATTGAATTTAATGTGCAGGGCTGAGAAATGGTACTTTCCCATAAAAAAAACCAATTGACATCTTTTTTTTAAAAATAGAAAAGTTAGAGACGGATAACTAGTATACAATTCAGAAAATGGTGTCTGGTAAAAATATATCATACGCAGTAAACCTCAAAGATGAAAAATTATCTTCTCTACCTTATGATGTGAAACGTG